GGTGTCCTACTGTCTGTCCCGTAGTCATTTCACTCACACATTTATCAAAACGGAATTTAAATTCAGCTTTTGTTTATCAGCATTCATCTTCCCCTTGGAATTTGTTTTCTAAGCAATGCAGCAAAATTCTGCTAGCAAGTGAGACCAGCAAGCAGTCAGGAGGAAAGAGAAAGCCTGTGCTTTGTGATAAGATGCTTCTAGAGAGTTTGAATCCCAGCAGGGCGCTTTCTACTTTGTGGATTTCAGCGAATCGCTTAATACCATCTCCGAGCCCTAGCGTCGTCATTCATAAACTCTCTCTGTGACAATAACCATTGCGCAGGGTCTCCATGCCTTGGCCGACACCCGACACACTGGCTTGCTGGACCCTTGTTCTGTGGGTCCAAGGTGAATGTGCCTTGCACATCCTGTCGCCACACACCCCTCTGTACCTGGTGGCACTGGACACCAGCCCCTCGCTGCTGCATGGGGAAGGTTCTACTATTTATTTCTCCTTTCCATGTAGTATGTTTTTGTGTCTCCAGGAGATGGTAAGACCTTGACTCTTGTCACAGCATAATTAACTTATTGAAAGCTGGAACAGCCACCGGATTCCATATTGTGTCCTATTGAGAGCCAGAGTGTACTCGATGTAATTAGTGGTCCTGCTTTCAAATGCCACCAGCTGGCCTTTCTCTTCCCCACAGGCGACCACAGGTTCCTGCCAACTCCTGTCACATTAGTTGGCATCTGGCAAACCTTTCATCTACAGCACAACTTGAAATTTTAATCAAGACTTTTAGTGTTGGAGCTGCTTCCAGGACTCTCTCCAGGTCCTCTCCTGAATGCAAATGTGCTGTTAAAATATTTGCACACTGACGCAGTAGTGCAGAGGAAAACACTGTGAGCCATGAGGGAGCAGAAAGGTCCCTTTCTGTGGACCCTGCTTAGCATGGTTACTCCATTCCCCCGCTGCTGCTGGTGGAAATGCTCACAAACTCAAGGGCTTAAAATGACACCCTGGTTTTTCTCTTCCAGTTCTGGGATCACTTGTCTGCCACAGATCTCTGAAGGCTAAAGGCAGGGTGGCTACAGGGCTGTATTCCTTCTGCAGGCTGCAGAGGACTCTTTTGTCTTTTAGCTCCTGGGGGTTCCCCAGCCCTTGGTGGCAGCTCAGCATCTCAAATCTTTCCAGGCTCCCCCTCCTTCCTCCCTCACTAATGAGGACCCCTGTGATACATGGATAATCCAGGATCATCTCTCACAGGGAGCTGATTAGCAGCCTTAATTCTCTGGGCCGTGTAATCCAGGGTAGTCACAGGTGCTGCTTTAGGATCTGGATATCTTTAAGGGGCTTGTACTCTGCCCACGCCATCCACTGTATTAAACTCTGTTTCCATAAATTGCATTGGTCTGTTGCATTTCCCTCCGAAGGCATGAGATAGTACAAAAAAAAATCCTCAAAACCTTAGTGAAACATGTTGTATTATTTAAATAATTCAGCCTATGCTCTGATAATTGAAGCAGGCATGACTTTTTTTTTATATTGTCTCAATTCCTTCTCCCACCTGCTTAATTTCTAAATCAGTTACATGCGCATGGGCAAATAGATTTAGTGTATGCACGCAGTTGTGCACATCTGTGTTTTTCTAACATTTCGAGCCCATACCCTGGAATACGGTGAGGCATGCCTTGTCTCTCTGTGCATGCCTTCCAAATGCATGAGAATTAAGCTCTCTGCTCTCCACTGAAGTCTACACTGCAGAGTGGATCGCCGGGTCTACAAAGCTGTGTGCCTCTGGTTGTCATGTGCTGGCTGAGTGGTCGATTGGTAGAAGAGTAAACAAAGCAGATGTGTGTTAACCTGACTCAGGTTCCCTGGTTGTTCCTTGGGCTGCCATTAAACCATGTGGCTGAGGTCTACACAGCTGTGGGTCAGCACTTCCTGTGGCCTCCCAGACAGATAGCAGTGGACAGGCATCTCAAGGGCACTAAAGGCTCTACAGGAAGTAAACCGAGGGCCAGACAATGATATTGATGTCTGTGGGGAGCTGGGGTGGCTGCTGATTCACAGGCTTGAACCACAAGGCAGTGGACACCAGAGAAATTCAGTCCCCAGAAAACCCACAGGTGAATGAAGGAAGGACTGTACAGAACACAGCCCCCTCGCATGTAAGACTTGCCCTGCCTCCAAACAAAAGACTTGCCCTGTCTCTTGCAGAGTGTCACAGCTGGGACTGTGGTTGCTATCCCTGAGTGTCCTCTGTGTAGGCACCATGCTCAGAGCCTTCTTTGCAAGCTCAGGAGGGAGTAGATTTTCCTACCTATCTTGTGAGACAGGCTGCCCTGCTGGGCGAAGGTGGCTGTCTTAGTCGCTTTCCTAGAGGTGGGACAAAATACTTGACTTAGAAACTTAAAGGAGAAGAGGTTTATTTTGATGCACTTTTCAGAAGCTTCAGTCCTTGCATGGCAGGCCAGAGGCATGGTGGAAGGGTCCAGGTAGAGGAGAGCCACCAAGTGGGCAGCTGGGAAGCAGAGCAAAGGGAGGAGGTGGGGAGGGCATCACCCTTCCAGGTCACGCCCCAGTGCCCGGACCTGGCCCCAACACCTGACAGCACGTTTAGCTGGAGCACCCCCGAGGTCCAGGCACCTTCCACACCTCACTGGCTGTGGACCAGCTCACTAGGTAGTAGTGTGACATCGTGGTGTGTGGAAAGGGACCCGTTGGCCAGCCTCCCCGCTTGACTGCTGCTCTGGAAGAAAAAAGGTTAACAGATGCTTCAGTGACTAGGTCTGGATTGGTCTGGGAGATTGTAGAATTAGGAAGCCTGGTATTCAGTTGGGACATTCTCTGAACCCTGTGCAGTTCCTGCTGTGGCCCTGCCCTTTCTTTAAGTAGGGAAGATCACCTGTGTGGCTTTCAGAAGCCTAACCTGTCGTCAGGGTCAGGTGTGCCATCTGCATGGTGTGGACTGGGGTTTTCTGAGCTTTGATGATGAAATTGTCTCCACTTTTGAGATGGGCTTTATGTGGACTCTGCCTGTCTGGATATTCCATCCACTATGCTTCTCCTTCCCCAAGGGCTTCTTATCTCTAAATTTTGGAAGTTAATTCATGAAGGAGAAAAATATATGCTATTCACAAATGCCTCTAATACATAATAGAAAGTGTCATGTGATTTAAAACGGCACTCGGGTTTCTATGGAGCCAACGCCACAGGACCCCTCTATCGTCCTACACTGATCCCAGAAATACCAAGGACTCTGGAGACCAAAAGAGGTTGGAGTCAAGCATCTTTTCCTTCCTAAGTTGGGGGAAACTCCAAGGCCCTGGAAGGAATGGATATTGAAATTTTTCCACTGGAAGAATGCTGGCCTCTCTTGCCTAAGAAGTCTGGAGTTGTTGAAATAGTTGAGCAAATCATTGTATTTACTTATGTACATGTTTGTCCTTTACTACTTCCTAGATGGACTTTATTGGGTATGTATGTGTAGTTTTAATGCACTTTACTTTGGAGTAATTTGGTGTTCTTTTTTGTTTACTGTTGTACACTTTACACATCTAGACAGAGGTGCAGTGATGTGTGTCCGTTGCTGTGGTGTCTGCAGTTACACCCGAGTTCTCTGTGCTTTGCCTGTGTGTACATCTCTGCCTCCTTGCTCCTGGCAATCACAGATCCTCTTTCTGACTCTGTAGATCTGCCTTTTGCAGAATGCCAGATCATGGGAATTGTTATTCATGACACTCGCTAAAGGACAGTAAGGCAGACTATTTGGGGGCTGCACTGTGGAGTTTTGCAGTAGGGAAGGGAAAGGGACAGCATTCAGCTCTGAGAAGAAGGAACAGGGAGGTGGTGCAGCCAGGCTGGAGGCCTGGTGGAACATCACCGAGAGGAAATGCGGGAGAAGGGGTCTGGCTGAATCAACCCAGTGGGATTCTGAATGATCCAGACAGGAATGAAAAAGCATCACCCATCATCAGGGAGGAGGAGAGGAAGACGGCCAGCTATCAAGGTGGGGATTCTTTCTAGACCTACTTAGCAGAATTCGTGCTAATGCTTGGCTATGCAGAGATGGAAATAGAAAATACCAAGGTAAAGGCCTAACTGGGAGGAGCCTGACCAAGGTTCAGCCACAGGAAGATTCTGCCAGAATTCCACCCCTGCCCTCAGTCGAGTGCATTTGGGCCCCCTGAGTCTTTCCCTGGCTCTTCTTTTCATTTTAGCATTCATGTCACCCCACACATACTGCCTATATGCACTGCCTGTTCATCCTTTCACCTCCCGAAGGACGGCTTGGCTGCTCCCAAGTTTGGGCAGTTACCAATAACTCTGTCACAAATACCCATGTGCAGAGTTTCGTGTGGATCTTGGGTTTCTAAGAGTAGTTTTGTACTTACAGAAATGGCATGAGGATAGTACAGAGCACCCCCTTGCTCCTTTAGCTGGTTTAGCGTGGTGGTGAGGTCTCCCACTGCATTATCAAAGCTAGGAAATCAGCATTGGTGATGACTCCTGCCTGGCCTTCATCTGGACCTCACCAGTGTTTCCACTGAGTTCCCTTTTGTATTTCATGATCCAAACCTGGAAGACACATTGCTTTAGCTCTCTTAATTTCCATTTGAATTTATAGGAGCAGTTGAGGTGTGTTGTACTGATTGAGTGCATCGTAAAGCTGAGCATATGCTGAGAAGATAAATGAGTGCAAACCCATCCGCTGTTGGAAACTGGTGTCCCCTAGTGAGGTGGGCACATGGGTTATGAGCTGGTTAGATTTGCAGTCTGTGACTGGCCTTGGTGGCGTGTGCAGGGTTTGTGCTGCACACTGCAAAAGCTGCTGTTTCGAAGCAGAACATGCACGCTTGCAGAAAGAAGGTCATTCCAAGGGCAAGCCTTCCCTGGCCCTGCAGAGATTGGTGGCAGAGTTGTCATAGGAGCTGTCACTGTCGCATGTCTCATGTTGCTCAAGGATGTGGTGGTCAGGCAGCCATCTAATGAGTGTCTCCAAATGTTTCGCTGGCAGAGGACTCCATGAAAGATGACAGAGGAAGTCATTGTCATAGCCAAGTGGGACTACACTGCCCAGCAGGAACAGGAACTTGACATCAAGAAGAACGAGCGCCTGTGGCTGCTGGACGACTCTAAGACGTGGTGGCGTGTGCGGAACGCAGCCAACAGGACAGGCTATGTGCCGTCCAACTACGTGGAGCGCAAGAACAGCCTGAAGAAGGGCTCACTGGTGAAGAACCTCAAGGACACTCTGGGTGAGTCACACGCAGGGACTGTCTTGGCCCAGCACTTCGGGGTGGGGAGGCTCATCTGGCTAGGGCTTTGCATTTGTGTAAATGTCTGCTTTAAATGTTGTGTGAGAGGTAAGAGATCAAGGTGGGGCAGTACACAGCCGTTCCTTCTCTGGAGACCCACAGGCTGGAGTCTGATGCTACCCCACCCCAGTGTCTTCTCCTCCTGTCACAATGCTAGAGGATCCTGAAATGGACTAACTGCCTGTGAGCATCCAGAGCTCTGCCTGTGTCCTTCCTCAAACTGTTTTCTCCCTCACAAAACCCACTCAGCAGACCTGTGGAGCATGGAGGAGACAGTGTAATGTTTTCTCCCTCCGAGATCAATGACATTCCACACCACAGTCCAGGCACTGCTGGTTAAGCTGGTGGCAGGGGCACCTAGACCTGTGACATCAGGGCCACCCAGCCACTTGTGGAAGGTCCAGTCAGGCACTGCCTTATCTGGCTCTCCCCTTGGGCCTCTCTGCTTTCCTGGTGTCTTAGTCCATTTGTGTCACTATATTGAAATCCCTGAGGCTCAGTCACTTTATAAAGAAGAAAGGTTTAGTTTGGCTTATGGTCATGGTGCAAGGTCAAGAGGTTTCATCTGGTGATGGCTTCTCACTGGCAGGGTCGAGGTGGCACAGAGCATCACATGGAAAGAGACAAGAGCATGTGTACATGTGTGTGTCTGCTGAGCTCTCTCTTCTTATGAAGCTACCAGCATTTGATCGGGGGGTCCAGTCCTAATTCCCTTATCTAATCCCCATGCCTGGTTTGGAGTAGAGAGGTATGAAACCCCTCCCCAAGCTTCTGTCTCCAAGCACAGTACCCACAGCCCTGCCCTCTCTCCTCCTCTCTTAGGCTCATTCACACCACCGAAGTTGTCAACGAACTTGATTTTGTCACAGACGGTACATTGTTAGAGTAACCTGAAGAAAGGGATTCAAAGGCCCCTGAACACCACAGTAGGGCTTCATGTCCATCCTCTCAGTGCCTCAGAGTGGCGATCACATTTCCAAGACTGATCCTTGCGGACCATGCTCAGACCTCATGTAAACCACAGCCACAGTGTCAGGACATGGAGCCGCTACCTTGAGTGTGTGACGTGGATGGTGTCCAGCCCTGCTGCCCTGCACATGGGTTTGCTGCAGCAGTTGCTGCTGCAGATTATCTGAGGAGCTAACCATGTGGCTCCTGAGAAGAGCAGCTCAGACTGACATTTTTACTCTTCCTCCTTATGTGAATAAGAGCTTGTTTATAGCCAACTCTGCCGGGTTATCACTTACAGGGATGCTGTTGCAATAAGTCAGCATTATCACCTGTATGCCATTTATGCCGGCTCTTGTTATTTCTAACAGAAGGATTTGTTTCATTTCAGAAGGGAGGCAAGGGGTGGCCAGGAAAACAGAAAAGAAAATCGTGCATCAGATATGGTGGGCGTTGCACAATGCTCATCTTTCATTTTCTGCAGCTTGGAAAGTGTCAACTCCCTGCTCCAAATCAGCTCAAGCCTACATTTATTGGTTGGGGTTCTCCTGGTGAAAATGAGGTTTTCTCCTGATCTGGAGAGAGAAGTGAGATATGGGGCTTTGGGTGACATGTACAGCTCATGGGCCAGCGTGGATCCGGGCCTGGAGGACAGGTTCCGGTTTTCATAGCTATCTGTTTTTTTTCCACTAAACATGCTCCCTTTATTTTTCTTTTATCTTTTTTCTCCTTTTCAGAAGCATGTCACTTGAAAAAGACACTCTTGTCTTATGCTTCTGGCTCTTAATTAACTGGGTGATGAAATAAGATTTTCTAGAGCTTAATCTTCTTTATTTTTTCCAACTTTAGCTTCTCACCAGAGGACCTACTTTTTAGTTATGCTAAACGTTGCTGAGTTATTTTTTTATTACTTTTTCCCTTCTCTTTCTTTCTTTTTTTAAGAATTTAAGCAAAAAAAAAATTTTTTTAATATTCTCAGGATTCTGGTGAATTGGTAGGTGGTAGACTAAGGCAACACTAGGCCTCTGGGCTACCTAGAAATTCCTTTGATGACTTGTTTTTTTGAGGGTCTTGGAAGGGGAAAAAACAGGGCTACCCATTGAAACTGTGGGCTGCACTCATAGACCGCATGCTGAGATTTTCCTGACAGTGACCAGCTCGAGGTCTCCATGTCCCTGAGGGTCACACTGAGCCTGCCAGCTTGCCCTCAGTCCGGCTGGGCAGCAGGTGTCCTTGGCAGATGTCACCCAGCTCTGCTGGAACGGAGCACTCAGGCTTCTCGAGTCAGCCAATTCCATTTTTGGAAAACACAGATTGTTAGAAAGCTCTTCCTTAAATAGAATCAAGCTTTTGCATTTCCTTAATTTCCTCCTCTCCGTGTGCCCTCTGAGGCTGTGCTCAGCTCATCCTGTCCTGGAGAACCACAGCCCCTGTGGCTTCTGCTCAGGTCAGGTCCCCGTTTCTCAGCCGCATCTGCCCTGAGCCTTAGGTATTGCAAAGCTAGAGTTGAGGCTGTGAGGAGCCTACGTTATGCTGACTTACCTGTCTTACAAGGAGTGGCCTGGGGACTCCATGGCCCATCATCAGTGAGAAGTGGCCCCCTTTTTAATCTTCTGGCCTTGATGCGTGTATTGGGCTCACCTGGAGGCTTGCTGTTTATTAGACAGAGGGACCTTGTTCTCCCAGCGGGAGTTTCCATCACCCTGTTTGAAGTCCAGGGGAGGCACTGCACATGCAGAGGGACCACGAGGGCAGACTTCTTTACCACAGCCTGACTCCATGCAGAGCTCAGAGCCTGGAAGGAAGGCAAGGCAGCCAGGTAGACCCTCCGCCTCACAATGTTCTCTTTGCTACAAGATCAGAGCCAAAGCATTCATGGCTTTCTACTTCATCACATCAGCAGGAGCACCTAGAAAGGCAGAGTGGATTGTAGAGCAATCATGCAGGGAACAGAGATGATCTTGCTGTGTCCTAGGAGTGAAACCTGCAGGTGCCATTGACCCTCTGATAAGTGCTCATGTGTCAACCACACTATCCTTTGTGCTGTTCAGGGACACACCTGACTTGGAAGTTCAGGGGAGAATTTCCCTGGTAGATGCCTGGTTTGGAACAGAGGGGTATGAAACCCCTCCCCAAGCTTCTGTCTCCAAGCACAGTACCCACAGCCCTGCCCCCTCTCCTCCTCTCTTAGGCTCATTCACACCACTGAAGTTGGCAGCGAACTTGATTTTGTCACAGATGGTGCATTGTTAGAGTAACCTGAAGAAAGCTGTACCATTTACAAAAAGCTCTGCCTCCTATGAAAGTGCTGACATTCTTTTCCTTTATTTATAACTGAATAAAACAATATGCGTTCATATGTTCACATGAGGAAACAGTCACACTTGAGACCCCCTCTTACTAACTTATGTTCGTGAATGGCCCAGAGCGCATTCCCACAGACAACAAGGTACAGGTCAAGAGCTGCCTTCGCTGGTGTGGTGGAATCCACTTGATTCTGAAGGACTCTGAGCTCTGTAGTGAGCACCCCTGGCTGCTAGCTGGCCTTGGTGCCAGCCTTGGTACTACTGGCCTTGGTACTACTGGCCTTGGTGCTGGGCTTGACTTCTAAACCCTGCTTGTGGGTGTTGTTAAATGCCATGGGGAATCCTCAGAGGTGGCTTTGCTCTGCTTTTGCTGAGTGTCCACTCAGGGCACCTTCTGGGTGGGGACACCAGGACCTCTTTGCTGTACCATCAAGGAGCCCTAAAGAAGGGCCATGGCCAGGTGGCTGAAGAGGGTCCAGCCAGGTGCAGCCCCCAGGGAGGTATCCATCAAAGGTTTCTCTCAAGCTACTGAAGAGCAGCTTTGGCACCTTTCTGATAACGAGCTTTCACCACCCAGCCTGAGCCTGGTCCTCTTTTCCTGTGCTCACTGGGGTGAGTGGTGACTTGGGTTACCCAGGCAGTTGGGGTCCACTCAGGATAGCACAGCATCCTCCCTATAGTCTGTTCCCAGGTGCCCCTGTCCATGGCTCACTTCCTCCTCGGTGTCTCGAGGCACAGCCTTCACCCTGTGGGTGGCTCCACCAGCATCAGTCCCAGTGTGACCACCCTTATGCCAACCATATGCCGGCCAGAACTCCTGCCTCGGTGACTCTGCTTGACCAGAGCTCAGGGAGGAGGTTGTAAGGATCCCAACGTGGGTGCTCTGTAAGACACTTGGGCCCTGTGTCAGTTGTGCTTTGGGACCAGAAGAAGGGGGCTCACACAGGTGAAACTGACATGGTCCTCAGGCCTACCCTGCCAGTTGAATGGATCAGAGATGCAAAAGAGTCAACCATCTGGTTCCTTATATACAGCCCAAAACCACTTAAAGCAAATCCTTGATATTAGTCACAATTACACAACCTTGAGGGAAGTGCACGACAGAGGTCACAAGGGATTCCGGGTGTGGGTGACACTGCCCTTGGACCAGCAGTGGGTCTATGGGCACCTGCTCTGCCTGGGCACCAGGGCTACACATGTCTCTCTGCAGTTGCTAAACTTTAGTGTTTAAGAAACTCCTTTTAGGAAAGATTCAGGACAGCCACCGTGGCAGTAAGCCAGAACTTGTGGAGTCCCAAGACCTGGCCCCACCTTCAAAGCTGTGTTTTGGTTGGGTAGAAGGTATGGACAGACCCCGATTCCTGTGTCCTCAGTGCACAGCAGGAGGCTGAGAGGAGAGTGTTGTATAGCCAGAGGCAAGGGATCCACACAGAAGGGGGGTCTAAGAGCCAGCCTCCAGGAGCGTGGAGGACCATGCCAGAGAGATGCTGTCCTCCGTAGGGCCACCTTCAGGGATGCCCATCCAGCTTTGCCCTGGAGGTCACACGTGACCCTCAGAGCCCTGCCCTGGCAGCCCCTGTGCTCTGTTGGTTCCAGGGACTCTAGAGGCCTGGTGAGTTGCAGACTGGGGCATGGCTTGGTATTGCTGGGGTTCTTGGCTCACAGGGAGCCAGGAGACAGTCATCA